CCTTCTCTATCTAACGACTTAAGTGCTAGGATGAATTTCATCATTTTTATGTTCTTTCAAGGCTAGAAAAAAACACACTAGAATTATTTATTTTAGCATCAACAGGAACCAAAAGATAAACTGTCACAACTACAGACGTTTGGCTATTTTCTCTGCCAAGTGTAATGCCAGAAACAACCAAAAATATTAGAGGAAATTAGTACTTAATATGGACTAATACCTTCTGTTGTTTACAAAAACACCAAACCTAAAAACTCACAGAAATGTATAATCAAAACGGAGCTACCAGATATGTGCATGGAAATTTACAGTACAGCTTTATCAAAATAACGTCGAAACTTAAGCAGCACTATCACCCCCCAAAACACCATACACAGCTGAGTAGCTACGAAGACGCTTCCCATGCAGCGAACAAGCTCAGGCTCCGGCAGTGACAAGGGAGGTTGCGCAGGAGGCAGAAGCTCTGCTCCGAGGGAAACATGCATATCTCAGAAGTCTGCTTTGCTTTCTTTCAAAGCTACAAATAAACTCATTGGACTGCCCTATTAATAAGTCTAGAAAATGGGTGGCTTTTTTTTGTGTGTGTGTGTGGAAAGCTTTTGCAAATACAGAAACAAAAATATCTTCTCATTTAAAAGGACCCAAGGATATAAACATAAACCAGATGCCAATCCTTCTCTTCCAGGGCTCTAGCGGAGCTCTGGCATACAAACTTTTAAGCAGTACAAGGAGATTGGCAAGAGGCGGAACAAGGCAATGTCTATCAATACAGAACAATCCCAAAGGCCACACTGAGTGCAGACAGCAAGGTGCCGAACAATACACACAGGTGTGTCACCCTGTAAATGTAAACTACATTTTGAAAAGGACCATGTCCCTCTCAAGCTACCTCTCAGAAGGTGTGCTGGGAGTTAGCTGGCTCTGTAGTACTTTTGCTCCATGAAAGCAAGCTGAAGTCTGGGGTGGGGGTGGGGCAGGGATGGGACCTGCTAGGAGCCTGGAGCCCAAGGCCACAAGGGTGTGCATGGTGAGCGGAGGGCGGAGGGCAGAGGGCACAAAAAGCTGAACAAGTAACTACAGTCTGGGAGAACTACACAGTGCGCTTGGGCCCCAAGTCAGCTTCCATCACCATGAGCAGCCCGGCCCTCTGGAGTACCCGGGAGTGCTGCACTGGCAGAAATGCTGACCTCGTGGGAGGATGACGGCCCCATGAGACTTGCTGGAGGACCCCCCCCTTGGTGCAAGGAGGGAAGAGAAGGAGATGTGGGCTCAAAAGGAAAAGGGACAGGATGAGTGGACAGAGGGCCTTGGCATCCTAGGGCCCAGGGAGTATCTGAGTACATCACTCTGACAATGCATCTTCCCACTCACACTTTCTCCTTCAGGTCTCATGGGCCAGTTTTCAGAATTCTTTTCCCTGACCCCCCCACCCACTAGGCAGGCCCCCTTCTCAGGTGTCTGGGGTCCCCCGAGCAGCTAGTTCTTCACTGGCATAGCACTGCCCTCCCTCTGCTGGACTGGGCCTCCCAGGAGCCCATGCTATAGATACGGGCAGGGCAGCATGGGGAGCCCCAGCGTGGCACCTTCGCAAGAGGAAAAGTCAGAAATAAAGGAAGCAAATCGACCTGCAGGAACTATTCAAATGAGACCTAACATCTGGTCTTACAGGAAGAGCCAATAGCTGAGGGAGACTCTCACAAGTTCCAAGGAGTTACCACCACTCAGAACTGTCTCCAAAGAAAAACATCCCATTTTCTTCAAGATTTACGAACAACGGCGGGGGTGGGGTGGTTACAGTTGATGAAGTAAAGACTTCAAATACAAGGGAGCTGTAAAACGTCGTCGTCGCTGGGAAAAGCGGACCTTTCTGGAGCCCACTCATATTCTTCTTTGCCCATCATGTCAGCGCTCTCAGCTCTACAAACAGCAGTGCAGTCCTAAGCTTGTGCGCTTCAAAGTCTGCCATGAAAAAGGCTCCCCGTGAGCGAGCACAGGTGGCCTGGCACCATGAGTCACTAGAAAATGAGGTCTTCTAAACATAATGACAAAACTAAGCAGCACTCTTACATGATAACCTTGTCCTTAATCATAAATCCCCTTTCCATTAAAGTAAAAAAAAATAAAAAGATTCTCAGTCCAAACTAGGACTCCATTTCAGTTTTGAGGGTGTCTGTTAAAGAGTCAAATAATACAAGTTGCAAAATTTACATCAGCTCCTCTAAGAAGAACATATTCACCCAAAGCCTGTTGCCTTTTCATTAGCCAATACAGAAAAGGTTCAAAATGATCACAGAAGAAAATGACCATTTTTATGTATACAACTTTTATTGTACCCTAACCAAGCTAGCTGAACATCGAACTGTTTCAACAGAAAATGGTCCTCATCATAATTCAAGACACAAACCAGCCTACAATTATACCAGTCAGAAAACAAATTACGCTTATATTGCAGTCTACCCTAAATTACGTCAAAATTTCAAACACACACAACTCTGGCTTCCTCCTAGCTTAGATAGGACATACTTTAGTTTGTGAAGATCCTGTCCCTACCCCCGCCCCCTGCCAGAGGAGGGCAGCACAGCCTATAGGGCTCAGTGTCCCCCAAGGCTCAAATCAGGTGCCCAGATATTTTCTGGTGGGTGAGTAAATGGTCATCTGCTAATGGCCCTCCCTTCAAGCCTCACAAAGAAAACATTCAGAAAGAGCAACTTTATGAAGAAAATTGGAAATCATTTCAGATACATTTTTTTTCAAATATGTAAGTTTTTCTCTAAGGGGAGAAAATTAGGATGAGTAATTCTCTGCTCTTAAAAGTAAAAAAAGGGATTTCCAAGTGTTAAAGCAAAAGAAGAAAACATAAACAGATGTTTCGTATTTTAAAAGACAAGTAAAATCAAGATATAAGTAGGGAAAATATTTGCATGATGACAAAGAAGTAATATCCTCAATACATTAAGAGCCCTTACAAATCAATTGAAAATGAAAGACCCCAAGGGAAGAAGAAGCAGAACACAAATAGACAACATCATAAAACACAAATCGCCAATGACGGAGAGTCAATCTTGGTATAATCCTGGTTAAGGGTGGGACACGCTGGCACTTTCTGGAAGGTGATGTTGTGGTACCCACCAGGAACTCCAAGCCTGGGTAGACATTCTTCAGCAAGATGAACTATCAAGAAGTTCCTTCCATCCAGCACTTTTTGGAAGAGCAAAGCCCTGGACCACTGTGCTACACTGCTAGTGAAACTAATGCTATAGAAGAAGAGCTGCAGGCGAGACGGGTTCTGAAGTTTGATTTGATTTGTAAAACACTTGATTCGTTTTGCTGTTGCAATCCTGTTTAGCACCATCCCACATTTCCATTGCTTGAGGCGAAGTTGTTGAAGGATCTACATTAAGCTCTCTGAATGTTGGTTCCTGACACCAAGGGGAAGCTGTCATTTTTAACATTTGATATACTTTACATGGTTTTGTGTTTTCTACAAGTATGTATTATTTTTGTTACATTTTTAAAAGATGAAAACAAGAGTAAGAGATCAAACACTGAGCCCCTAAAGACAGACTCTGGCCTCTGAGAATTCCTTGAAGTTCAAATGGCCGTATCTCTTTCCCATTTATAAGTAATGAGATCTTTTTGAAAATATCCTTTCCTTCCTACATTTCTGAAGAGAAACTGTCTCGCGTCACCACTCTCTGTTCTAAAATACCCATTAGGAATCTGCGAAAAAAGATCATCAAAAGTAAGGCCCACCCCAGGCCTAAACCTACCAGAAGAAACCCCTTCACTCACCATATTACATTTCGGCAACATAGTTTCTCAGACAATGCACAAAGTGTTTGCCATGCAACTCCCACCAGCACAAACCCACTGGAGGACAAAGAATGTCCTGTCCATGGGGCCCAGCCGCCCCCCCCCCCCCCCCCACCCCCAGCAGTTAAGGGGAATGACAATCTGAGTCACAGGATCAGGAGGGGAACCAAGCTGGGGACTGGGGCGCAGCACAATGCGCCTCCACCTGGTCTTCACCTGCACAGCTTCCCAGGCGGATGATTTCTTAGGGAAATGGTCTGACTGACTTTCCAGAGACAGGCAGAGGCCACTTGGGAGCACAGAACAAAGTGTTCCTGGCGGGGCGGGACTAAGCGGAAAGCAAGATGGCTGTGAATGTGTCAATCACAATGGTTCTTAGGAAGAAAAAAGGAAACACTTGATTAGAATGTGCTACCTTACCACACTGAAAGTTTGAAATTCAGAGTATCAGAAGATCACATGTGGACTGACCACAGATTAAAATAAATCATGAAATGTGAAGAGCAACGTAGTGGGGAAATGAAGTTTTACCAAATGAAGTGCACACAATGGGGCCCAAGTCACCAAGATCTCAGGCCCGGAGCGACTTGTAGCCCCAGCTTTTCCCAAAGCCTCCCACTCTAAAGTCCAGCTCTCTAGCAGTACGTGTCTGCAAGTCCACTCGGCCAGCACTGTTCTGGGACAGCGTGCCGGAAGTCATCTTTCCAGACTGGTTCCCACAGAGCAAAATACACTACAAGCACTCACACGTGTTTACCAGTGAGTCACTTTCCGAAAACAAAACCCCACCAGGTCCCTAGTAAAGACCATTAGGCCGTGCAGCAGCAGGTGGAGGGCGCAGCTGAGCTGCTTCAAGGTGAACTGGAGTTGCAGCTCACCAGTTCCGGCTGGACTCTGACTCCCGCCCCCAGATCACGTTGTGACTACCATGGAACCCTACCCAAACTGTCCGTTCAGGGCTCAGGGAAGTGACTTTTTTTTATTATATGGCACAGTTTGGCACAGTTGTATCTTTATAGTCTTTGGGGTACTTTTATACTGTCCAAGAATGATATATCTTATTTGTTTGTTTTTTCCTTTTTTCTTTTTTGTTGTTTTTTGTTGTTGTTGTTGTTGTTGTTTTCTCTTTAAAAACAGATGGCCAAACCAGGACATATACTAAAAAAAAAAAAAGGAAGGTTACTTACCTGAGCCCTAACATCCCAGCTACCATGGAATCCTGTTGGAGCTGGTCTACAGAAGCAAGGTGTATTCTGGGGAGTCACATGTCACATCAAAGCAGGAACTGGTGAGTCTGTACTTTTATGGAGCCTAAAACAAAGAAAATTGTAAGTTGAAAGTCCCCATTGTGCTGCACGACCTTTTTCCCAGGACAAGTTGGGGACATCTTGAAGATCAACACAGAGGCAAAGAGCTTCGCAAGTTCCCGGAGTGGCCAACTAGAAGCCAAGTGTAAACACACTGTGCTGCAGTCCCAGGGACCGCTCTGCTGCAACAGTAAAGCCGAGGGCCTCTGGCCAGTATTTCTGCCACCAAGTCACACTGAAATGCTCTGGGAGAGAAGACATGTGCCAGAGAACACGCAGCATGGAAAGGGCAGCATGGGAGGAACACATGAGGTCAGGAGCCCAGGCTCCCTTTCCAACCAGCTGCAGTCGCAAAGAGCTCACTGAGACCTATGTGAGCGCAGGAGGACCAATGGTAAGCAAGAGCTGGTTCCGAGCACCCAGTGCGCCACCTCTCAGGTCTCCACAAGCTCCAGTATCTCTTTGGTTTCTGAGTCTAAGTTCCAAAAATAACTTGTTTCATTACACTTTTTGCACTAAGATCAGCATTATTTCCATGTTACCACCAAAACAGCCCCAAATGAGCTAATTTGGATGCCTTAACTGTCCGGCCAAAGCATAGCACTGTTATCTTTAGACTAAAAAAAGACTAGCTAGGCTCAAGTGTACAACTTAGATGATCTTCACACAATTACGGACGTAATCAAATCCCGAGAAAGGGCGACACCAGCCAAGTTGCTTAGGGCTGACCTAGAACTACCAGGAGGGGTACCTGGAACCTAACTGCTGGGGTTTCTTGAGACAATAACTCGAGCTAGAACATGGTTCACATCACCGGAAGGCAAGTTTGCAATATTCCTCAACTACAAGAGTCCAGTAAACTGGTATCCTGGCTGTAATGCTCGAGAGAAGCCAAGCCCGAATTTTTGTCAGTTATATATTGAAGGAGCTAGACTAAGGTTCCTTCCAGTTCTGAAAGTTTAAGTTCTTTGATTCACTCAAAACTTTATTTAAAAAATAAATAAAATTAAAACAAGCCAGAAAATGAGATCAGGGAGGTGAAAACCACAGCAAAGCAGTGATTTGCATGCCCACGTACATGACACCCCTGGTTCCAAAGACAAGGAAGACAAGTGCCCCTTTTTAAGGTGTGGTCTCATGTGTGAAGAATCCAGACCTCCACAGTCACTACAAATGAGCTGCCCGCCTACCATCCGTACGATGCACTAATGGGCAAGGACACTCAGCATGAGTGGATTCTGAAGAAGTGATCAAAGCAGAGGCCTCTAATGGGCCGTGACCCCACTTTTAGCATGGGAGTGGGAATGCCCACCCCCCACCCCCATTGTCACTCAGTCACTCCACACACCATACCTACCATCAAAGTCATGGAACAAAGTAGTTAAGCAATGCGTACAAATAAGCCTGTGAGATGACACGACTCCTTGGACGAGAAAGGCAAACGTGAACAGGGCAGGGTAGGAGAGCATGGTTCAAACACAGCAAGCCCAAGAAGAGTGGCGGCGCCCATTTGTTCTACAAAGGCACAGTGACAACAGCATCTGGACTGGGGGAAGACCAGTACACAAGGTCCTACAGCTGGAGTGGCTCAACCCAACCCAAGAAAAAAGGTGGCGGTTGCCAACACTGAAGGCTGCTCAGCACCTGCCCAGCCAGGGCCCAGGGCGCCCCAAGTCAGCGGCTCTCAGTCACAGCTGCTTACAACAACTGATCTCGGTGTCTTGACTTCTCTTGGCCTCACAGAGCACACAGGCCGGGGGGGGGGGGATAAGAGCCAAATACCAGGGGGCTTCAGAAAGTTCATGGGGGAAATGCAGGTTTTTTTCTCATTTCCTTTTCCAGGAACTTTCTGAAGTCCCCTCAAAGGAGGAGCTTATAAATACTCATTCAACTTTATACAGGAATAAGGTTCAAAGCCACACTATCCATCATGGAAACATTTCCAAAAAGGTACACTTGAGTTGGAAACCGTCCACATGTAAGGAACTAACAATTCTAACTGCCCCCACCCCCACCCCCCCGCCTCCACCCCATACTCAGGCAGGTGGGTAAAGGACTCTAGTTGCAAACTGTAAAATACAAACTCAGAATGTCAGAATTAAAAACTGTACCCTAATCATCCTCATAGACAGAGCTCTGTGCCCCAAACCTACCTTAGGATTCAAACATTAAAGAAGTCAGAGTCTGCTTAATGCACGCTGCTTTCCTATCAGGTAGGAGAAAGGTTGGATACTCTAGATTTAGGATCCCTGGTGACGCAATGGTTAAGTGCTCACTTGCTAACCTAATGCTGGCAATTCAATCCCAGCAGCCACTCGTGGAAGAAAACTGTGGCCGTCTGCTTCAGTACAAATGACAGCCTTGGGATCCCCATGAGACAGGGCTATTTTGTCCTAGAGGTCATTAGGGATCGGCAGTGGGTTTGGTTCCCTCTAGATTTAAAGCATTCCATGCAGATGTCCGAGAAAGGGAGATCAAAAGGTGTGACAGGCGAGTACAAGCAAACACACTGCCCTCAGAAGGCGCCAGGCACTTATCCGAGAAAACTCGATTTGGGAGGATGCCTGTGTTGTTGAAAGGGCTGGTGTCAGATAAGCAGCTACAGAGGGGAGCCAATCACACTGCCAACCACAAAAAGCAAATCCGAGACAGAGGTTCCGTACGTCTTCATCAAGTGAGGCTTGTGCACCTGACTATGAGAGCACGACAGTACCCCAGTGAGGCAGCCACCCAACTGACCTGCTGGAGATGAGCCACCCGGGGCAAGTGATTGCAATCAACATGCCCACGTCCAGTGTGCTCTTAGCTCCCTGAGTGTGCTCTCAGAGTCACACATGCTCAGGTACGTCAAGAAAAGCAAGGCTTTCTGAGGCTTCCTGACTGTGATTTCAAGGCTAAGTCATAAAATAAACAAGCCAATTTCCCTAAACCTCTGGTGGAAACTCCCAAAAGACCTAAAAAATCCAGACCCTGTCTTTTTATAGAGCCCCAGCATACTTCCAAAGACCCAAGAGGTCAGCTTTATCTCACCCTTAACTGAAATGACTACATTCCAGATGAAAATTCCAGCTACAGAACCCAAATTTGTCCTCTAGAGCCATCACTGCCCATCACGGGTTCTAATTGTACTTGCGAGGCTCGAAGACGGTTCATTTCTTCAAAGGAGCAACGTGTCTAAAACTTGCGGGAGTCCTTGAAGCCTAGACCAGTTAGCTGCACACCCCAGGAGCTGTGACTGCCTCATGACCCACCAGCCCCTTCATCCCATCCATCTCACCAATGTGGGTCACCGATCCTGCACACTGGAGACACGTGTCAATGGATTCGCGGAGCCCGGTCCTGGGACTGGAACAGCCCCCAGAAGCACACATCGGCTTCACCATGAGTCAGGAGTACCAATTTTGTGGTGGAGCCAATTCTGCTGTGACCCACCCACAGCCGACCCCACTCCCAACAGAAGCCTCTGACTGCAAGGAGAAAGCAGGAGATGGGCCATCTCTTCCCAAGCATGCCTCCTCCCCTCAGGGTCCCACAGGCCTCCTGGGTGAGAGCAGTTCTTTTAGACTCTGCAGAATGACCTTAAGTTTTCAGTGTAAAACCAGAGACACATTGACAGTGCCACCGAAAAGTCAACCGAGTTTCAGTTTGGCTGACTCGGTCATCAGCCCACCAGACAGAGAATAAACTTTCAGGAAAATCCACAGCAACAGCAACGCAAAGAACTTGCCACATCTGGTCCCGGCGATCTTGTGGGGCCTATTACACGCTACGTCCCCTTACACTTATGTAACTGGAAGAGATCGCCGGCGGCGGAAAGGGGGAGGATGGGAGGGCACTCATATTCCTAAGTCACAGCCCCCCCCAAAAAAACCCAGCCCTTTGAGCACCCCGGGGACACGCTCACGCCAAAGAGCCTCCTGTGCTGCCGGACAAACGGTCCCCTACCCACGGTTCCCAAAGGGAGAGCTAGCCACCTCTTTATGATGAGTGGCAGGACCTGGGACACAGCGTCTGTTCCCTTCTGTGGGTGGACAGTCATTCTCGCCTACTTCTCGCCGCTCGATGGGGAAAGGAGCCGGTGGACAGGACTCGGTCCAGGTTGGGGCAGAAAGACATGGAATGGGCGAGAAGGAGGGGGTGGCAAAGCCTGGAAATGGGGGGGGTGAACGCGCAGGAGCCCTTGTGGCGCACTCTCCCGACGGGAGGCAGACTGCGCACGCGCGCCGGTGGGGGGGGGGCAAAAAAACGGGAGAGGGGGCGCGAGAGGGAGGGAGAGGGGAGAGCGCGATCCAGGGAGAGACCGGGGGCGCGGGCGCGCGACGGCGCCGCGGCCCGAAGCCCCAAGAAGGGCAGGACGCGCGCGCAGCCACGACAGGCGAAGCCGGCGACAGGGGCGCCCGCGGGGCCGGGATGCGCGGGGAGGGCGGGAGGAAGTAGGACAGAAGGCCGAAGCAGCCCGGGCGGAGGCCCCGCGAGACCGCGGCGAGGACGGTCACCCGCGAACGCGAGTGACGGGCCAAGGGGGGAGCCACCAATGGAGGCGGCAGGCGGGGGAGGGGGACAGTAGAGAGGAGGGACGCCATCCGCCAGCCCGAGGCGCCGGAGCCCGCGGGCCCCTCCCGCGCCACGTCCCGCCCCTGCCCCCCTCCCCCAAGGAAGGGTCCCCGCCCGCGGCCTCAGCGGTACCACTCACAGTCTCTCCTCTTCGCCTCCTCCTCCTCCTCCGCTCGGCGCGGCGGCGGCGGCGGCGGCCATTTTCCGGACGGCTTTTACCACAGCCCTCTCTCCGAGAGGAGGGAGTGCGCGCGCCACCGACGCCGGGACCCCGCACGGACGACGTCGCGCCCCGCCCTCCCGGCCGGCCTGCGCGCTGCTGCACCTGCGCGCTCGCGCCCCGCCCCGGCCCCGCCCACACGCCGTCTCGTCGGTCCGAATCCGCCCATCATTGGCTGAGGTGGCCAAGGTTGGTCGCAGACTAAGCAACGTCTCCGACAATTGGCGAAAGGTGTTGTCAGTTCCGTCCAGGGAAAATGGGCGGAACCCCCGTTCAGCTGCTGATTGGCTGCCGCCGGCCGTCATTTGGGAAAAAGAAGCGGCTAGGCCCCTAGGGGCTGGTTTAGTGGGCGGAATTTGAATGCTAGGGATTAATGGGCCCTTGCGGATAACAGGGCGAGTGGAGGCCTAGGCTCGGAACGCTTGTTTGCGCTGTCCGACCGTTCAGTTGGTCCGCGGTGCGAAAACGCGCTAAGCGCGCTGAGATAACTGTTTTACTTCTCTCGCATTTCGCTCACGATCGCTCCCTTCGTAGAAGCAGTAAAGTTGTTTGACGTTGGCACAACCGAGGGACCTTCGTTTCGGAGGCCTACCCACTGCTGTCTTTCATCTGAGACTGCTAGGTGCCAGACCCTCAGAGGGGCGGGCACTAGACTGACAAATCACAGCCTCTGCTTTCATGGAACTCTGGCGGAGGAAAAGGGATGCTCACTAAGGCCTTCCAGACTTGCAATTGTTGGAATGCATAGTTTGATGGAGGTGTCGATCACTCTGCCTGGATGGGAGAGGGAAGACTTCCTAGAAAAGGGGATCTGAAAGCTGAGATTCAGCAACTCTATTTCTGGAAAATATTTAAGAGCATGAGAAAAGTTGTAGCCAATGCGATGTTCAGGACAGGACTATTTATAAAGGCGATCCTATCCTGATATCCGGAGTCCTGGTGTGGTGCTGTGGGTTAATGCACGGGACTGCAAAGTTGGTTTGAACTGCAAGGACGGCGGTTCAAACTCACCAGCCGTTCATTGGAAATCCTATACAGGATCGCAATGGGTCGGAACCAACTCAAAGGCACTGAACAACAACAACATCCTGATACCCATTCAACATCCAGTTCATCCAATACTTCTTGCGTTGGTACCGTATGAAGGAACCTTATAATTCTAATTTGGCTTTCTCCCATTCATTTATTGAATACTTAAATATGTGCCAAACCCTGTTCCAAGATCCGTATATACAATATCCAAGACAGCGAATTCACATTCTTGCCGGGAAGATGAAGTATATTAAGTCTATAATATAATGTCACATCGGAGCAAAACAACGCCATTGCCTAACAGTTGATTCCAGCTCATAGCAACTCTATCTATCCAGACAGCCTCGTTTTCCTCCCTAGGAGCAGCTGCTGGGTTGGAACCGCCAATTTTGTGGTTAGCAGTCCAACGCCTAATCCATAGCTCCACCAGGGCTCCCTATATAATAACAGGACTTTGAAAACAGATGAAGCGAGGAGGAATGGGTCACCATGGGAACTGGGAGTACTTACTGACAGGCCTTTTTACTCATTTTATTCCCCCATATGGATATCTGTGGACTCCTGGTGTAGTGCTGCGGGTTAATTTGCTGGACTGCAAGGTCAGGTTGAGCCACAAGGTTGGCGGTTCAAGTTCACCAGTCGCTCCTCAGAAACCGTATACAGGGTCACTCTGAGTCGGAGCTGCCACTTTGCCAAATGGGCTCAAGTGTAACAACAACTGCGAGGTTGGCCCAGGACCAGGCGGTGTTTCGTTCTGTTGTGCGCAGGGTCGCTATAAGTCGGTACCAACTCGATGACATCTAACAACAACATGGATATCTGTGGCTAGAACATTCCAGGCAAGTACAAATAAAAGCGCAAATCAGTCCTAGAAGAAATGTAAGCAGAATGTTCCTTAGAAGAGAGGAAGGCAAGGCCTGAACTCATTTTGAACATGTCATCAGGAAAGACCACTTGCTGGAAAAGGACATCATGTTTGGCAAAATAGAGGGTACACAAAAATGAGGGGAACCTTCCTTGAGGAGGATTGACACACTAGCCTGTCGGTGGACTCAAACAGCCGAAGGATTATGAAGGAACCAAACCGGGTAGTTTTGCTCTGTTTGTATACACGGTCACCATGAGTCAGAGTCTGCTTAATGACAAGAGCAGCAACAACACTGAGGCCCTGAGGAAAGACCACACCTGCCATGCTGGAGGTTAACAAGGAGGTCGAGGTAGTTCGAGAGTAGTAAGGAAGGAGTTTGGAGAGGTAGCCTGGGTCACCATGGAAGCTGGGAGCTGACATCATCAGAACTATGTTATAGGAGAATCAATCACTTTGAAGGGGCAATGTGGAGAACCAACCATGTTGTTGTTGTTGGTGGTGGTGTGCCGTGGAGTCAGTTCCAACTACAGCGACCCTGTATAGGGTTTCCAAGACTAAATCTTTACAGGAGGAAAAAGCATTATCTTTCTCCCTCAGAACCACGGACAGTTTCGAACTGCTGACTATGAGATTACCAGCCCGACGATGCTACCAGAGCTCCTTAAAACCAACCATGTTGTTGTTATGTGCCGTGGAGTCGGTTCCGACTCATAGCGACCCTGTACAGGGTTCCTGAGGCTGTAAATCTTTATGGGAGCAGAAAGCCTCATCTTTCTCCTGCGAAACAGATGGTAGTTTTGAACTGCTGACCTTGCGGTTCGCAGCCAGATTCGTAACCACTCTGCTAACCAACCATAGTGGGACAAAAGTAAGAGCAAAAGAGCTCATTAAAACTGAGTATGTTGTTGTTGTTAAGTACTGTGGAGTCGGTTCCAAATTATAGCGACCCTGTATAGGGTTTCCAAGGAGCGGCTGGCTGGTAAATTTGAACCTCCGACCTTGAGGTTCAAAGTGATCTTACCCTCCAGCGCCACACCAGGAGTCCATAAAACTGAGTCTAGGAGATGAAACTGACTATGGAAATACACTAGACATGGCAATTGACAGAGAACAAAAATAGGAAGTTTTGTATGAATGTGGCAGTCTGTCTAAAATTCTCCTGAACTGACAGAAAAGAAAAAATATTTCAGAAAAGTCAATTCAAAGCAACAATGGAAAAGAGAAGGAAGAATACAATAGACAATCCAACATTTTCGAACTGGCATCCCGGATGATGACACAAAAACAAACACAAATTTGTGGCAAACACTCATGGACATTTCCTAAAGGTGCTCACGCACTGTTGTTGTTAGGTGCTGTGGAGACAGTCAGTTCCTGGTCCTGCACCATCCTCAATATTGTTACGTTTCGGCCATTGTTGCTGTCACTGTGTCCATAGATGTGGTGGGGAAAGCCACAGGATTCATTGAAGACATGAAGCTTAATTAAAGGCCCAAATACAGGATGAATATACTAGTTGGGACCTCCTTTCCCCCACCAGACAGCTGAACTGAAAGCTGGCGCAGGTCCTGAGTCATCCTAACAAACAGAGAAGTTTCCAAAGTGATTGAATGAAATGTCTGTGAAGTTTGAGCTTGTTAGCAAGCCCTGAACAATTTTCTCCTTATTCTAGCATTTGGGAGATATGAACCCTGATCCTCAGCTCTCTGCCCTATAAAGAGAAGAGCATAGCAATAAGACAGACCTGTTTACCCAACAACAGACTAAAGCCACACTATCTACCTGGTCATTTAAATATATACATAAACTGACCACTGAGGATCATCAATAACTTGAATAAACTCTTCAACATGAACAAAAGGCAAGATAAACAATTATGGGGGAAAAAAGAAATTGAAGGAATCCCATAAAATACAGATAACATATGTGTGTGTGTGGGGGGGGAATTAAACTAATTCATCTATTCAGAGAAGTAGAAGTAAATATTATATGCACAAAACAAGAACAGAATATGATGTAAAAGGAGCAAAGAACAGCAAAGAATGGTATGTGATTATTGAAGTTCAAATTTCAATTGAAAGATAAAATTGAAGAGGTCTCTCAGGAAATAGAATCAACAGAGTAAAAAAAAAAAGAAAGAAAATATAATCACTTATAAGAGAGATCTAGGAAATCCACTCAACAACCAATAAGAGTTGTTTTGCCTTTTTAAAAAGAAGGATATTTTTGTTGAGGATACTCACAGCACAACATATCACGGGACTGCAAAGCCGTTTGAATTGCAACGTTGGCAGTTGAAGCTCACCAGCTGCTCCTCGGGAACCCTATACAGGGTCGCTATGGGTCGGAGACGAAGCAATGGCACTTCACAACAACAACATGCACCGTTGAGTGACATTGGATATATTCTTGGAGTTGACAGTCATTCTTCCCCTCCTTTTCTGGCTTGTTCTGCCCTCATTAACATAAACTCACCGCTCTCAAAGACTCCTATCAAACTTACAAGAATTCTTAAAAGGTAAAACCAATTAAAAAGAGCAGGAATCAGAACAGCATCAGACTTTACAACATACTGGATAATAAAAGACTTTAGGACAGTGTTTGAAAAAATCCTAGGAAAAATATTTTTCAACAAAATTTTACATTTAGACATGATATCAAGGTTGATGACAAAATAAAAATATTCAAGAATGTAAAAGCTAAGAAAATTTACATCTCAAATATCATATCCTTTTTTAGGAAGCTACTTGAGGATGTTCTCCAGCAAAACCAGAGTGTAAGCCAAGAAATAGGACATTGTGTTATTCACAAAACAGTGGCTCTAATCCAGGACAGCAATGACAGGAAATACCAGAGATGCCAGTTGGGCAGAAAGCCTGAGGGCAGTCAGTCAAGATTGGAATAGGAGAATGGCAGGCTATAGACGAGAAGACGCCCAAGAATTTTGTCTGCGTGTGTATGTGTGTGCGCATGCATGCGTGAAATCAACATATTGGATAGTGTTACTGAGAATTTGCTAGAAAATGACATCTGATATTATTTTAAAATACAAGAAAAAACTTAAAAGTCATTAGAAACACCAGGAAAAAATAACTTTATATATATATATATATACATATACA